ACACTAGAGAGTACAAAGTGACTTTCCAAATAGAAGATCATGCGTTCAATCGTCAATGGGGGTGGTACTGACTCTTTGTGCTTTAATAGGTTGATAAAGACTACACAATTTATCTATTTTAATTTGGGTTTAAGCTCAGGATGGAAAATGGGAAATCAATTTTTTGGGGTCTTTTTGAGGTGCTTTCAATTTCATCAACTACCTATTGGCATTAAATTTGGACACTTGGTTTCTTACCATAGACAAATCAAACAAGACTTAGAAAGACTCGGTTAAGTAATATTGACTAAAATTTTGTAATGAGTGGCGTAGTGGTTGAGCAATTGTAACAAATTATATCATAGACCAGAATGCACCTTACATGATGGACCTTGATTTATGATTACAGTATATTTCTCAAATAAATAATTACCCTGAGTATCGGATTATCGATCCATAGAGAAGCGGGGCGTATCAACCACTAGTTACTAATTTATTCTTGTGAAGCTAATCTTAACAAAAATCATGGATGGTTGATTAAAAAGTATAACTAATTGAAAGAAAACAAAGTAACAGGTTGTTGAAAAGAATAGGGGGGCGTTTGGTTCATATTATCTTAGGGAATCTAACATTCCCAAGGAATGTCACATTCCCTCCACATAGGATTTTGAAGGGAATGTGATTCCCTTCAAAATCTTAGGTAATGTAAGATAACCTTGGTTATGTTAGTTTATTTTACATATATATATATATATATATATATATATATATATATATATAAAATTATTTTTGTAATTATATATATATATATATATATATATATATATTTTTATTATGTTATGTTAGCATATAAAATAATTTTGTTTCTCAAGTTCAAGATTTTAGTTAATATTTTAAAATCATGTAATTATATACGATACCGTTATCTTATTTATTTATTTTAAATTTTAAATTTATTAAAATATATGAAAATATGTTAAGAATATTATAGTATGTATAAAAGATAACTCTAAACCAAACGTGATTATATTACATACCCAAATTTTAACCAAACACAGAAATCTAACATTCCAGCAATCTAACATTCCCTAAGGTAATCTGACATTCCGTGAACCAAACGACCCCTAGAGGAAGAATAAGATTCCTGTGATTCAAGAGTTTAATCACCTAGTGCGAATCTAAAGAGCAACATTTAATTTAGGTTTAAACAAGTGTAGGAATGCAAATTAGGGAAGGAATTACTCCCGTAACTCCGACCTAAAACAAGTGGATATTCGTTCCCACGATATACACACTCAACAATTTAATAACAAGAATTCAATAGAAACCCCTAACTAATACCATCTCCTGATGTGCAATAGCTAAAAATTAACTCCCTAACATATATGCCCTCTCTCAAAGTGCAATAGTCAAGTGCAATTGTGAGTGCCCTAAATTATACCCTACTCTTGTTAAGACAAAAAGATAGCTATGAAACCAGTAATTTTGGCCATTAATTACAAGCATCAACAATATAAATCACAATTGCAACACAAGTTGTAAAACCCAAATATAAATATATTAAAGAATCTGAGAACTAGGCACATAAGTTCATAAACACTTTTACCCAAGAATCTCTAAGATAACTTAGTCACTCATGGCTAGAATGTAATCCATTGCAATTGATGGATATATTCTGATCGGAGCAAACCGACCCGGGAAAGCGGAGTAAGGAAGTATGGAACGGTCCCGGGGCCCCGAGGATGAGCCCCGTGCTCGGTGCTCGGCCCAAGGCGCCTCGGCCATAAGGAGCTCGGCCATGGTGGTGAGCTCGGCCATGGTGAGCTCGACCATGTTGAGCTCGGTCATGTTTGACCCGCGGACCCGGTCCGCACCTGAACGCAGTCAGCACGGGAGATGCAACCACCCCCGGTTTAGGTGGGGCTGTTGGCGATTTATTTTGTATAAAAACCCCCTGCTTTATCCCATTATGGAGATTCTTGATCTTCTATCTATATTCTATCCTATTTGTCCTGAACAATCATTGTAATAACGTTACACTATCTTGTAATAGCTCGATTATCACTATTTAATACAATATTTGGTCCCCGCGACCCTACGATACACATTTGTCCTATTTTGCCTACGCATTTACACATTTATTATTTATCGGGTTTATTGATTCGGGCTACCCCGTGTTAATTAAATCCATCATTGGTGCTTTCATTGAGAGCTCGACGTCAGGCTCGAGCGTGCTAATTTTCCACTAGCTATGGCAAGATCGAGATCCAACTCCCGCAACACGAACGGTTCCCGTGGCACCCGACTCGTCCCGACCGGGAACGACTCCAACGGGACTCCTAGCCTCCAACCAACCATCTCCGTAGGGTTAGGAGGACACCTGAGAGATTGCCTCACCAACCACCGCACTGGTGTGCCGGCTCCCTCCACCCCACCTCCGAATTTTGGTCTCTTCCAGGAGGGGGCAGTCGCCCTTCAACAAGCCACACTAACACTGGCCCGCTTTGCGGAGGGTTTCCAGGAGGTACGCAAGCAGGCCTAGAGGCCACCTAGAGGGTACCGACCCCGCCCCCACCTCGCTCGAGGGGACGCAGCGATCCGAGCACCCGACCAACCCGAGCGCCTGGCACCCAGGTTGAGAGGGAGGTCAACTCACCCCGACTGTCAGACAGGCGAGAGGGAGGTGGTACTAGCCGAGGTTGGCAGCGACAACAAGAAGAGAGCAGGGGGACACCAACCCAAACCAGGCCTGCCAGAGAGCGGTTGGGCACCCGCGTAACAGCTTGAGACATACTAGGACCGAGGTTGACCGCGAAAGGGCCCCTATATAATAGTCATACTCACGAAGCTCACCGAGCCGTGGGCTCCAAGCCCAACCGCGACGAGAGGAGACCTCCCGGGTCGAGCGGTTGGAAAACCAATGGTCGAGCTCCGAGCGCCCATTGTGGCGAGATCGAGCAACCCCGTAAGCAAATTGACGAGCTCTAGGAGGGAGTGGTCACGCTCTAACATGCTACCAACTTATTGGCCTGCCTCGTGGAGGTGTTTGAGCCCCCCCCCCTCCCCCCCGGCTCAGCCCCGATGCCGGCCTCAAGGATAGTCTCACCAACAACCGCAACGAGGGGCCGGCTCTTACCGTCCTCCCACCTCTAGCCCCAGCCTTCCTGGTGGGGGGTTGGCCACCCTTCAACAAGCCGCTATTGCACTAACCCACCTCGTAGAGGGGCTCCGAGGAGGTGTTCGAGCCCCCCATGCTCAGCCCCGATGCCTCTCGAGGGGCGCCTACACTTACCCCACCCCTCTCAAGGGGGCGCGATAGGTCGAGCACCCGATTTCCACGAGCTCCAGAGCTCAAGTTGGTGGTGGAGGTGGGGGGCGGGGAGGTCAGCTCACCAAGACCCTCAGATAGGCGAAGAGAGGGTAGTGCCGATCTGGATAAGCGAGATCAGCCCCAATTGTCCCACGTAGGGCCCTTAGACTCCAAGACGAAGTGATAATAATCTAACAAGCCGTAACCTTGCCAAACCGCTTCATTTAGGGGATCCAAGGAGTAGTGTAGTCCCATCCACTTGGCACCAAGGCGCTGGAAGGTTTAGTGAAAGGGTGGACGACCCTTACCCCGACCCATCCAAGACCAAGCAAGATGTTGGAGATGTGGCCTCCACGAATGCAATGAGCTGGAGCTCGGCTACTGCAAGCGTAGAGAGCCATAGCTTGGCCACCACATGGGCGAAGAACCCGAGCTTAGATGCCATGAGCGCAAGGAGCCCATGCTCGGCCACCATGGACGATGTGCATGATCTGAGTGGGCTAAAGGTTCCTAGAGGTCCTAGAAATGGGTTTGGACCCCCCGAGGGGCTTGAGCCGCGGCTAGCATATTATTCCTCTAAATCAGTGAGAACTTGAACTCAATCAGGAGGCATGGGACCCTTCGGTGAATGTATGTATGTATGTATTAAATAAGAACACACCTCAAAAAATCTAACGGATCAGATCAATTTTTGAATAACAAACCATTCCAGGATTCACTTTAAATCTAGCCTTCGAACACAGAAACTTCTTCATGTTCACTGTTTATGCATGTAACGCCTCAATATCATTGCTTACCCCTCCTCACACTAAAACCTAATCTAAATTCATAGTCATTATACATGTCCTATGCACCATCAACAAAACTCACTGGCAACCCTAACAAATCCTTATCATCTGCAGAAAATATAGTTTTAAATAAAACAATGATTGGATTGTATATGAACCAGGGACGGAGCCAGAAATTCGATTCAGGGGAGGCGAAGGCGCGAAGCAGGGACGGATTCCGAAATTTTTTCTAGTAAAAGCGAAACTTTAAAACAAAAGAGATAATTTAAAAAAAAATTACCTAAGAAATATAGTTGTAAATATTGTTGGATATGTGCGAAAAATAAAACACATCGAAACTTTTTAAAAATATTCATAACAAAATATAAAACACAATCATATTATGCCACAGATTTGAATCCTTGATCTTTACTATTACCACACATGTGCTCAAGCAACTAATCTAACTCATTTCTTGTTAACATTTAATAGTTTTTTTATACGAATACTAAAACGTGTACTATATATACATATATACATACAAATATTATATATGGGTTGGGGTGAGGGGGGGCAGCTGCCCCCTTGCTCCCCCTTTGGCTCCGTCTCTGATATGAACACCATATTTCTATGTAGTGGAGGTTACGGATATGCCGAATAAATCCATCAATACTCTACAAACAAATCAAGTCTTCAATGAATCTAGCTAAATTACACAAACTGAGTACACATAAATAATTAACCTTTACATCATTCTATACAAATATACTAAGGCACATAATTTATACCCTATAGATACATAACTTCATAACCTCAGTAAACTTTAACTGCCAGCCATTCAGCAAACCCAAAACGAAAATTCTGCATCAGACATGTATAATAACCCACCCTGACTTCAATACAGCAAGCAACAAATAACAGCTTCAACACAAAAACTGCAAACTTCAATACAGCCTCTGCATTGCTACAGGATACATATAAAATGCATATCTCTTCTTTGAAATATTTATGGACAGTTTCTGCAGCTTGTTGCATATCATTATGTTATGAAACCTACAAATTATAGAATTCATCGAAAGATTAGTATTACGTACTTGTAGTATTCACATTTAGATGTTTTTGGTGATTCAATTCATAAATCATTCCCCAATCTACTTCATATATTTCCTTACACTGAAGCCAAGAAAATAAGCTTATCTAAAAGCTGCAACAAATTTGCATAAGCTAAGAAGAAAAGGGGAAGAAATAGAGAAATAGCAGTAAAAACAAAATCCAGAATAATCTCCAAACACAGATTGTAATAATAGAAAAAACGAAATATATAATGAAACAAACTCCTAAGCTTCTGTTTGCTGTTCCTTCTCTAGCTCAACAAATTAAAGAAAACAAATTTCTCGGCTTGTAACGATACCATTCCATCTTGATGCTAACAACTTATCAATTCAAACGGTGACACAACACTCTGACAGATTATACCAGATAAATCTTCAGTTCATGACAGATTAATTACATCAAGAAGGTTTTCCTTGCTTTATTTAATTCACCAACAACATCACCAATCTTCATTCTGTCTGCTGGGAATTCAACAGAACAAGCAACCCCAACTTTTATCATACAAACTAAGTACACATCAAATTTGTCCTTCACCTCTGAGGATTTCCCTTTCTTCCTCATTTGTATCTGTTCATCTCTTTCTTGGAGAAGTTTGGGATCTGCAATCTCCACTCCTCTGTCAGCTAAACCAGCATTAGCATAGCTATGAAGGTTTAAGCCATCTTGGAACAATTCATGTGTAGGTCTCTTCCCAGTGAGGATTTCCAAGATTAGTATGCCAAAGCTATATACATCACCTGCTTTTGATGGATTACTTCCCATACCATATTCTACTCCAAAAATGAAAAAAAGAAAAGAAAAGAAAAAAGTAAATGTATTAGAAAGTAGAAAGAAGATTGGAGAAGTTTTTATTAGGAATTAGTGTGAATTATAAAACTTACCTGGTGGTGCATATCCAATAGTTCCTTGTATTCCTATAGAACTATGGTTGTCTGATGAAGAGTTTTGAATCTTTTGTTGTTCAAATCTTGCCACTCCAAAATCACTTACATGTGCAGTTATGTTTTTATCCAAGAGAACATTACTCGGCTTGAGATCGCAATGGATTATTGCAGGTTCACAATCATTATGGAGATAATCCACAGCGCATGCCACATCAATAAGAATGTTTAACCTTTCAACAAAAGTTAACCTTCTATTGTCTTCAATCTGAGAATTCTCTTGGGGACTAAAATGAAACCAGTTCTCAAGGTTCCCATTATCCATGTATTCATAAACTATAGCCTTGAAATCATTTTCTTGAAGATCAAACCCTGAGCAAGCTGTTAGCACCTTGACAAGATTGCGGTGTCTCGTGTTTTTCAACACCTCACACTCAGCAACAAAACTTCGAGAAGCTCCACGGTGTAAAAGATCAAGTACTTTCACTACAAAAATAGTTCCATCATGATCAAAACATCCTTTATATACAGTTCCAAAACCACCAACTCCTAGTAAATTTTCTTTAGAGAACCCATTAGTGCACCTGAAGAGGGAATGATATGACACTCTTAAGATTGGGTTTTCTATCAAATTAGGTGAGGGTCCTTTTCTTTGTCTTCTTAACCCTCTACGACAAAGAATAAACACTACAACAGTTAGCCCAGCAATCCCAAAAATTAGATGAATTACTATTTTCAAATAACCTTTTGAATTCTTCTTCTTGGACTTTGTAGTACTGCATTCAGGGAGGTTCAGCTCAGGTATACCCCCGCAAAGCTTTTTATTTGCTGCAATTGAAACAAAGCTTGTGTTCTTGAAGATCCCGGTTGTTGGTACTGCTCCTTCAAAATCATTGTATGAAAGATTCAAATTCTTTAAAAATTTGAAGTCTTTCAAGAAAGCTGGAATTTGGCCTGTGAAATGGTTGTGAGAAAATTGTAAGAACTGCATACCCCTCATATTTTCCAAAGCTGATGGAATTGGGCCTTCAAGATTGTTATTCGTTAGATTCAAGAGTTCCAAGTAAACGCATCTACCAAACTCTGGTGGAATAGGGCCTGACAATGAATTATAAGACAAATCCAAGTAGCCTAGATTTCTCAAATATCCAACCTCCTTTGGAATTGAACCTATGAACTTATTGTAAGAGAGATCTAAATACAATGACAAGGATGAGAGCTTAAGAATTTCCTTTGGGATGTACCCACTAAGATTGTTGTAAGAAAGATCTAATGACAATAGGTTTTTGCATTTTCCGAGACTTGCAGGAATAGTATCATGGAGGTACTTTCCTCCTAAACGGAGCTTTATTAATAGGGTTAGATTTCCTAAAGAAGATGGAATTTTCCCGTAAAAGTTGTTTCGAAATAAACCCAACACTCTTAGATTACTAAGAAACCCAATCTCAGGTAGAATTTCCCCGTTGAGTTTGTTATAACTCAACAGTAATGTCTGCAAGCTAATGAGATTAGAAATCCCATTTGGGATGTTTCCATAAATCTTATTGTTGTCAATGGCAAGATATCCAAGGTTTCTTGAAAGGTTAGTGATTGATGTAGGCAAGAATCCTCCGAAATTGTTAAGACCAAGCTCGAACACCTCTAAGCTAGTCGAATTGGTCAATGAACAAAGGAAGTTCAAGTCAATAATATTCCCTTCCCCAAGATGATTATCTTCGGCATAGAAGTATTGTAATTTTTGCAACTTTCCAAGGTCAGCTGGAACTTTTCCTGTCAGTTTGTTTACACTAACACCAAACATCTGCATTTGTGTTGCATTTGATAATGTAGTAGGAATAGTTCCAGTGAAATTGTTCTCAAAAATAGCAAAAAAGAAAAGGCGGGGAAGAGAGACAAAAAGGTTGGGGTGCAAAGTCCCCCCTATGTGATTTTCACCCACATCAATAACCAACATGGATGAATGGATGAATAGAGAAAGGGGTATAGTGCCATTCAAACTATTTTGACTAACTACAAAGTATTGTAGTCTTGGTAATCTACACAGAGAATCAGGTATTTCCCCTATCAAGTTGTTGAAGGTTAAAGAAATGTCATAAAGCGAAGAAAGATTCCCAAGAGAATGAGGAATTTTACCAATAAGGTTGTTGTGGGAAAAATGAATACCTATGAGATTTGTTAAGGTGCCGAGCTCTGATGGAATGTTACCCGTCAGATTGTTGTATGAGAAATTTATCTCATACAAATTTTTGCAAGTAGAAATGTTTGAAGGTATAAATCCACTGAGGGAGTTATTGTTTAAAAATAAAGTTTGCAACCTATGCAAACTTTTTATCTCTGGTGGGATGTCACCTGAGAAGCTATTGTTTCGGAGGTCCAGAACTTTGAGAAAGCTCATGTTCCCAATGTGTGATGGCAGTGATCCCACAAGCTTAAGAGACTTGAGGTTTATGGATGTGACTCTCTAGTGGCGATGGGAGCAAGAAACACCAAACCATTCACAAAAATGAATGGTTTCATTCCACGAGGCCATGACACCAAATGGATCATCTTTGATCATTTTCTTGAATTCAAGAAGTGAAATAACATCTGTCTCATTACCACGTAGCTTTGATTCAGATGAAATCATGGGAAGTCGAAGGATGAAGAAGTTCAAAAAATAGAGAGAAATAACAAGCTTAGTTGAAATGAAATTTAGAGCTGGGAAAGCCATGATCTGTGTGGGGTGTGGCGATGGAAAATTATTGATGTGTCTTATAACATGATGACATGTCAAGGGAAAATATAACAAAATGATTTTATATTGATTATCTGGATCCCATTCCGATGGAAAATTTTAGTATGAACAAAGAAAATTTACTACCTAATAATTTTTTTATGTCAAATATCTTTGACCCCAAATATTCAAAATCGTATTTGACGTGAAATTTGGATTCTTTTGAGGTTCTTTCATCATTATGAACAAAAAATGTGAAAAGTATACCAATTATCCTGTGAATAATATGCTTTCAAAAAAAAAAAATCCTGTGAATAATATAAATTATAATTAAGATATTATATAAAGATATATATTCAAATAAGATCAAACACCCAGAAATTGGGTGAATGGACATTGTAAAATAAAGAGTGCTTAGCGGCAAATTATACTGTGGACCGCGGTCCACAATGCATTGTGATCCAGGCATCAAAACTAATTTTTTTTAATGAAAGAAATGGCACCCGTTCCGCAAAAAGCAACTCTGTTTGTATAACATATTCAGTTTCATTTTATATACGCTGCAGTTTCATTTCAAAACAAATACAGTTTCATTTCGATATAACTACAGTTTCATTCGACATTATACACTCAAATATGTGAAACTGTTATTCAGTTTCATTTTATATACACTATAGTTTCATTAAAACACAACAATAGTTTCATTTCTATATAACTATAGTTTCATTCGACATTATATACTCAAATATGTGAAATTGTTATTCAGTTTCATTTTATATACATTGCAGTTTCATTTCAACACAAATATAGTTTCATTTGAATTTAATTACAATTTCAATTGATAATATAAAAACAATATGTGAGGCAGTTTCATTTTAGATACAATGTAGTTTCATTTTGTAATTAACACACCAAAAATATAGGTTCCGTTAAGCTATAACGGCATCTGTTTCTTTACTTAAAGAAACGACGCCGTTTTTGGACCATAGTCCACGATATAATTGATGGTGCCTAGCCCGACCGCCTCTAACATGATCATTTCTTGACTTCAGATCAGAACCTCTTTCTCTATCATTCTCTTGTCTTCTCCCAAATAATGTCAACTGAACCAGTGAACTAAGCTCGTGCGAGTACAACCTTACACCTAGCCTATCTCTCCCTTGTCTTGCCATTACACTACACCTAGTTGTCACAACTTTACACTGGGCATGTCTTGTGAGCCTTGACCCAATGTCAAGTCTAGATTAGGGATGATCACAGTTCGGTTCAAATCGAACCGGACACTGTAGCAACTGAACCAGAACTCAAAAGATTGTGGTTCTGGTTTATTAAAATTAGGAACTGGTCAATTCCGATTCCAAATAGGGGAAAAAAAAAAAAGCCTGCCAGTGAAGGAGAAATCAATGACTCGTTAAAAATACAATAAAAAAAAGGGTAGGAGAACTAGGTAGAGTTTGATTCTTATTGAAATTTTGATAAGATGTAGGCAACTTCATGTTGGTATAATTTAGTGCAAGCCTATTTTTTTTTTTTAATTTCACTTAAATATTAGAAATAACTATTTTGAAAAAATTTCAGAATGAAAAAATTCAAGTAATTAAAATTAAATAATTGTTGAATTTGAATTATTTAAAAAATAGAAAATAAAATTTATAAAAACATTTTGGAGGAAATATGCTTCATATATATACTACATACGCGTGGATATCTAAACATGCATGATTTTTACAGCGTTATTTTGGAATAAATATGTATGATTGTTTGTACTAAAAAAAAGTATGATTTTTTACATGCATCATTTGAGACTAAACATGCACAGTCGAATTCAAACGTGCATCATTTCGCATCCATTGATTTAGCCTAGATACATTTGAATAGATTGGGGGAAAGCTAAATATGCATCTTTTGGATAAATACACATAGTTAATTTGAGATTTATTTGCATGTTCTATTAATTCAAATTTTTATTTATTTACAAAAATACCAGCATCTGTTTTGTTTTGTTTTGTTTTTTTTTTTAAATTTTAATCATAAATCTAATCTTTTTTTTTATTATTAATTATTTCTTATATCAAACACAAAATAATTCATTTAATATTTACTCCGTAAATAATTCTTCAGACTAAGTTAAAATATACCGAGTATATATTATCTTCTTCAATTTTCTAGAACGATTAGATGTGAGCGGAGACACAAATGGTTTCAATAATTAATATATTTTAGTATCAATTATTACTAACCTCCAAACTGGAGTGTTTTTTATTTTTTTATTTTTTTATTTTTTTATTTTTTATTATTTTTTATTTTTTATTTTTTACGTGGAATTTAGTTCACAAGATTTGACAATATCGACTGGTCGTTGGGAAATGAATTTTTATTTATTTATAATTTATGTTTTTCTTTTAAACGTAGAATGGTTGGTGAGAAGATCAGCCAGTTGAGCCGAAGATGAAACGTGCTGCAAAACCAGCGTACCATTTGCAACCAAATTCCGTACAAAGAAGTAATCCAAGGCTAGATGCATGTTTCATGCGTGAATGAAACACGGGATTCTAACCAACGTACGTCGCACTCAAGTTGTCACAAAATAGTACCGGAGGCTCATCAAGCTCCAATTTTAACTCTTGCATAAGATTTTTGACCCAGAGGACCCCAGCTGCTGCATTCGCCAGAGCCTGATACTCAGCTTCTGTGGACGACCGTGAGACAGACTTCAGACGCGTAGACTTCCAAGAAATTAGATTATTGCCCAGGTACACCAGATACACGGTAGTGGAACGGCCAGCAGTGGTACACCCACCCCAATCTGAATTGGCATACACCCGCAACAAAAGGGGCTGACCTGCACGTAGGAACAAACCAT